TAAAAAAAAAAAAAATTATATTTTGCACTATTAACATACACTAGCTTAACAATGTTTATATTCTATACAACAGATCAAAATTAGTCATATAAGCACTTATTATAATCGTCTTAATATATAGATGTGGAATATCAACATTTTAATTTCTCGGCCCCTTACTAATATTTATAATATTGTACACTTAAAAATAACCAAATGGATTATATATTACTGTAATTAATAAGGTTTGGAACGAACAAAACTTTGCAAGTGGTTGGGAGTATATATACAAGTGGGTAAAGGATAGAGTGGCGATGACATGTCACTATATAAAAATATAGGACAATAATCTTTAAGGGACAACCCAAAATTTAAAAATGTAATATGGGGCAAATAGACAAGAGCTTTGACAAATGTTGTTGGAGCCCAAGTTATGCTCATCTAATATTATAACAAGCCTAGAAAAATCTCGTCTTTTTCTTCCATCAACCTAGTTTAGGCATGATCAGATTACATGCTATCTTATGTTGCTTGTTCAATGCTTCAATTCAAAACTCGATCTAATAACCAAAGTCTTCTTTATTAACATACTAGTCAACCTCAATTTCGTATTTATATATTGATAAATATATATGCTTCGTTTACTCTTTCTCTAAGTTTCCCCTAGAATTATTTTTATCATTGAATGGATCCAATCTTAATACAAAGTACTACATAGACTATTGCACGTAACAAGAAAGAAATAGGCAACTAGAAAAAAAAAAAAAGAACTCAATATATGCACGTAATAACTATATTATGAGTCCGTCAAAAATTCCAACTGGACTATAATATATGTTCAATTTACAAGTTACAAGGGTATTGAAGAAATAATTACGGGAATACAACGAAACATTCTAAGATGATCAACTAACCACCATTTATAGCAATAAATTTTAGTGATCAACTAAAAACCAATGTTGTTGAGAAAAGTAAGGCTAAAGATAAAGTTGCAAAATGGACAGACCACCAATTGTAAGTTTTATTATGAGTGTTATCTTCTACATTATATTCTGTTCATTAATAATTGTTTGGGAATTCTCAGTTATATGCCGGCGTTATAGAGAAACGAGTTACCTTAGCCAAGTCGTACGACAATCCATTGTTGTGTCCCCAACAACCACTAATGAGCTGCCTCGAGGCCTCGAAAACTCAATCATTGAAACCTTCCCTAAGTTCTCCTACTCGACGAGGTTTGATCAAGATGACGGATTAGAGTTGCATATGAAGACAATGGTTGAATGTGCGGTGTGTTTAGGTACGTTTGAGGAGAAGGAAATGGTACGTTTGTTGCCTAAGTGTGGACATGTTTTTCATGCTGATTGTGTTGATACTTGGCTTCGAATGCACGTTATGTGTCCTTTTTGTCGGGCTGTTCTATTGCCGGACCACCCTCTTACCGGTGTTGGGAACACGCAGGTGTAAGTTGTGATCAACACCAACGGTGCCATTAATAGAAAATGCTATAACCAATGAGGTTTTAGCCGAGGGTTAAAACTGCGTATATTTGTATTTGTTAAAGTAGTTAGATTTGAGGTTCAATTTTGTGATTTACTATTTGTAGATATTTTGTATTTAAATTAGGGATGGTAATGGGTAGGATTTGGGAAGAGTTTAGCAATACCCGAATCAGAAGAGGACTTTTTTTTTATCCATACTCATACCCTATTCGAATCCTTACTAGGGTCTAAAATTTTAAAATCCTTAACCGGACCATCACTAGTAGAAAAAATGTTATTTGTAACTGACAAAATTGACTTTTTGTAACTGACATTGTTGGTTGCGAATGCCACCGTTACAACTAGTGAAAATTATTCGTAACTGGCTAGTGTTAGTTACAAATAGTGTACTATTCGTAACTAACATTAAGTCTATTTTTCAATTAGAAAGCATACTATTCGTAACTAACATTAAGTTACGCCGGTTACAATTAGAGTATTATTAGTAACTGACAAATCTTTACGCCGGTTACAAATAGTTTTTTTTTTTTAAAAAAAAAAAAATCCATTAGTAACTAGCATTAGATTATGCCAGTTATATATATATATATATATATATATATATATATATATATATATATATATATATATATATATATATATATATATATATATATATATATATATATATATATAGGAGAGGGATCCGGTAAGAACCTCTCCTTATATAAGAACCCAATCTTATATAAGAACCCCTCTTTATGTTCTAAACTTTTTTCGGCTTATGTTCTAAAGTTTTCCTATGTTCTAATTTTTTTTCTGCTTATGTTCTAATTATTTCATATATTCTAAATTATTTTTTCAGCTTACATTCTAAATTTTTTCATATGTTCTAAATTATTTTTTCAACTTATGTTTTAAATTTTTTCCTATATTCTAAATTATTTTTTCAGATTATGTTCTTAATTTTTTCCTATGTTCTAAATTATTTTTCATATGTTCTAAATTTAGCCTATGTTTTAAATTTTTTTTCCTATATTCTATATTATTTTTTCGGCTTATGTTTTAAATTTTTTCCTATGTTCTAAATTATTTTTTCAACTTATGTTTTAAATTTTTTTCCTATATTCTAAATTATTTTTTTCAGTTTATGTTCTAAATTATTTTTCATATGTTTTAAATGTTTGTTTGTTTATGTTCTAAATTTTTTTTTTCTATGTTCTAAATAATTTTTTTCAGCATATGTTCTAAATTTTTTCTTATGTTCTAAATTTTTTTTTCAGCTTATGTTCTAAATTTTTTCCTATGTTCTAAATTATTTTTTAGCTTATGTTCTAAATTTTTTCCTATATTCTAAATTATTTTTCATATATTCTAAATGTTTGTTTGTTTAGGTTCTAAATTTTTCATATGTTCTAAATTTTTTTTCCTATATTATACATTTTTTTTCCTTATGTTCTAAATTTTTTTTTCAGCTTATGTTTTAAATTTTTTTCTATGTTCTAAATTTTTTTTTCAGCTTACGTTCTAAATTTTTTCTTATGTTTTAAAAGTTGGTTTGCTTATGTTCTAAATTTTCCTATAATCTAAATTTTTTTCCTAAATTCTAAAGTTTTTCTTATGTTCTAAATTTTTTCCTATATTTTAAATTATTTTTTCAGCTTATGTTTTAAATTTTTTTTCTATGTTCGAAATTATTTTTTCAATTTATGTTCTAAATTTTTTCCTATGTTCTAAATTATTTTTCATATGTTTGTTTGTTTATGTTCTAAATTTTTCCTATGTAGTAATTTTTTTTTTTCCTATATTCTATATTATTTTTTCAGCTTATGTTCTAAATTTTTTCCTATGTTTTAAATTATTTTTTCAGCTTATGTTCTAAATTTTTTCCTATGTTCTAGATATTTGTTTTCTTATGCTTTAAATTCTTCTTCTTGTTTTTTTTTTTGGTTGTTGTAAATAGGTGCGTAGTCCTGGAGTTGATATAAATATCCTATGTGTTGCCCCTAGACATGCTACGCGAGAGGTAAGATATAACTTTTGTCTGCTTCTATACTTTTTCCATTATTTTTTGCTACTTTAGTGCCCCTTAACTTGTTATATTTTACTGGATATAGGAAGATTTCTTCGAAGAACTCCATTAGATGCTTTCTGAGATGCCTGAGGTTACAAAGTTGCACCCTGTGCATGATGCTTTTGTCCCGGTGATGAGATTTAAGTTCAATGGGGTGTCCATAGATCTTCTTTATGCAAAATTGTCGCATTTGAGTTTCTACATTGCATGTGATTGTTTTCCTCGGCTTCTATGGGAGGGTGTTGATTTATATTAAAAACCTATTAGCTCAAGTGGTAGAGCACTATGCAAATGCATAGTTGATATAAGTTCGAATCCTACATAGGCAATATTTATAAATAACTATATAAGAAAAACTTTAGAAAATAGGTAGTAAAAGTTTAGAACATAAAAAAAAAAAATAAAAAAAAACTTTAGAACATAAGTAGACTGAATTTAGAACATAGGCAAAAGAATTTTGAACATAGGAAAGAATATTTTAAACATAGGAAATAAAAACCGTTAGAACATAGGTAGAAAAAATTTAGAATATAGGAAAAAATTAGAACATAGGTTGAAAAAATTTAGAACACAGGAAAAAAAAACTTTAGAACATAAGTAGACTAAATTTAGAACATAGAAAAAAAAAATTTGAACATAGATAAAAGAATATTTAGAATATAGGTAAAAGAATATTTAGAACGTAAACAAAAAAAAAGAAAAAAAAAAAAGAAACTTTAGAACATAGGTAGTAAAAATTTAGAACTTAGGAAAAAAAAACTTTAGAACATAAGTAGACTGAATTTAGATCATAGGCAAAAGAATTTAGAACATAGGTAAAAGAATATTTAGAACATAAGAAGAAGAAAAAAAACTTTAGAACATAGGTTGGAAAAATTTAGAACATAGAAAAAAAAAAATAAATAAATAAAAAAAAAAAACTTTAGTATATAAGTAGACTAAATTTGGAACATAGAAAAAAAATATTAGAAAATAGGTAGACTAGATTTAGAACATAAGAGTAGGCAAAAAAATTTAAAACATAAAAAAAGAATTACAGAAATGCCATTACTAAAGGATGGTTTTAGATGGTTGGATCAAAACTAATAAATGGTTGAGATTGGTTCTTATATAAGATTGAGTTCTTATATAGAGGAGGGTTTTTACATGAGCCTTCCTCTATATATATATATATATATATATATATATATATATATATATATATATATATATATATATATATATATATATATATATATAATTTGAATACAAGCTTGGTAGTATATCGATATCCTACCAAACGACCCATCGTCAAATGGGTTAAAACCTGTTACAATTCAACCAACAAAACACGTACTCCAAAAAAATTCACATACTTGAATTCACCAACACATACAATACAATCAAACTCTCCAATAATTCCATACAACTTAAATTCATCCACAATAATACAACAGAATAAACTATACTTCCCATAAAACAATTAAAACTTGAATAAAAAAAATTATAAATTTATAATTTAAGAATGTAATATACAAATAATCTTAAACAAACTTTAAACCTCCAAAATTCAACTATAAAACATGAAATATACAAATAATCTTGTTTTTACTGCTAATAAAAAACACTTGCCTACTGACCAGGTCCCAGGTCCAGCAAACAGGTAATTTGCTGCTTAATGACTGCTTCAGATGCAAGGAAAGTACGGTACTTCTTTGCAAGCTTCTTCTTCCATTGTTTAGTTTCTTCAATGCTTCTACATCTATCAACTCCAAACCAATCCTCTCAGCCTACAATCACATCAAAATTGCACATGAGACAACAATCAGGACAAAGGCTTCACGACCTTAAACAAACATTGAAATCAGTAAAAGCATTATAAGCACACAAAAAACAAAATTTTAAGATAACTCAAAAGCATTATATAATTTTGAAGCCATAAAATAACTTGAGAGGCATGAATTACTGACAACTTGTACATACAAGTCTAAAAACTTCAGTAGAATGCTATATTCAGGATTTCCCTTGACAAGCATCTTATACAAGCTCTTACTAAAAAAAACTACATTTAAATTTATAACACCATGATTAGCAAGCATCTTAACAAGCATCTACAAGCAAGGGCTCATTTGGGCTATAAAATCAACTCCATACATGCGATGATTAGCAGGTGATAACTAATAAAAACCTAGTTATAATTGCACAGGTGACCATTGATAGGCTTATTTTAAGTAGAGTTTTAGTCCAACTTTTAAGAATTGCTCAGACAACTTAATAGAAATCTACAACTAAGAACTAATTACCTCTTCCACATGTTCTGCAATTTTTTTAAACTAGTAAATAGTAATAATCACATCATTTAACATGAAAAAAAAACACTACCACATTATAAAGAGAAACAAAATCTGAAGTATCATTCTGGTCACAGAACAATGTTTCCAAATTCTGTCAACACTTCAAAAATGCAAAACTGGAGTTAAATGCTTGAATTACCCAAATTGATCCCTCTGAAATTTTCACTCTCTAGCTTCCTTGGTGTTGCTTAAGTACCTAACCAAAGCAATACAACCATTACACAAAAACCTTAAAATCAACAATTAATTGCAATTAAACATTGATGTACCATTACTCATCCTTGTAAACATGGTAAACGCCATGACTACTCTTATACATCACTAGAACCACCATCAAATAACACACAAAGCAATGAGCAACCAAATTTAATTATCACAGAAATTCAATCACATAATTTATAACCAACACCCTCATGAACAAAAAGCAAAGAAAGCAAAATGCCTAAAATCTATCACAGAAATGAACTGAACATCACGCCATGCATACTAGTGGCAAAAAATTTACCCTACCCCTCTTTCTTTATCTAATTAAGGTTGTAGATTCGACCACAGTAAGATCAATTTGGCGAAAATTATTTTGATTGACAATGAAATAAATGTAATTCGAATAAATCAAGTGTAATTTGATTGAAATTACTCAAATTCAATAGAATTAATTGCGCTAAAAAAACCGATTGAATAATTTGCCCTAAAATTAGAACTTTGAAGTTTCTTTATCTACCTAAATTTCGAATCAAAATACTGAAATTCGAAGAATCTACCTAAATTTCGAATCAAAATACTGAAATTCGAAGAATATATGATTGAATTATAACTATGATTTAATCGTATAATTCAAATAATGAATATGTATAGCAATTATATTAACAAATTCGAATCAAATTCCTACATAAGAGGAATAATTCGAATCAAATTCCTACAGAAGAGGAATAATTAGAAACTCACCTAGTTAGTGCGGTGGTGCTTCGGTGGGTGCGGCGGTGTGCCGATGACTATAGGCGTGGGTCAGTGGGTGCGGCGGTGGGTTTGGCGGTTCAAAGACCGACGGTAAGGTGAAAGTGAAAATTAACGTGGGTTATATTTCTCTTTCATAAATAGATTAATTTGAGGGTAAAGTAATTCTAATATCTAAAAAAAATAAAAAAAAAACTTAAGAAAAATATATCTGTTAGAAGATAAGTCTAATAAGTGAATGTCAATTATTGATTTGATTACAGAATGCTCATATAGTTCCAAACACTTGTGAACTCATATGGCTCTATGTGAGTAATTATTGTATTATTAGTGTAACTCATGGCTATAAATACAATGTCATAGAAGTAAGAATACAATGATAACACTACAACAATTTCACCCATCTTCTTTCACTCTTTTACTCCTTTTATTAATCAAAACTTTTCTATCGGTAAATTCTTTAACACGTTATCAGCACCAGTTTTCAGTCAGGTATATTTATACCTACTTCTAAAAATTTATAACAAATAATACTATCTACTTCTAAATGTTTCGAGGAGTATGCTTTATAGTTGCCCATATTTGGGATCCTCTATAACAGAAACTCAAACATTTACTATATATACCTCAAAAACAACGGTGAAAGTTCTCTTACTTGTGAATTTACTACTATCATCTTTTGTTTATTCATGTTGATGTTTCTTTGTTTGATCCATGTTGATATTACATACTCATTTTACGTAAATTTTTATCTTAGTTATTATAATTGCTAAGTAGTAGCTTTGCATGCATATTATTATTAACTAGATTAACAAAAAGATGCAGCCTTTTATACTTATTATTTTTCTTACTTTTACATACTTTTTGTGTTTCTTTCCGTTTTCGAACCCATGATCTTTTATAGATATTAGGGCTCTCGGACCACTATGGCTTGCATTCCCAGTGTGATAACCTTTTACAATTATAAATATATATATATGGACCATAATTTTATGCCAGTACGTTAGACTATTATATGATATTTTTACAGTTGTACAGAACAGTAACGGATAAACCTACCTCTATAAAAGACGGATTTTCCCCCCAATTTCACCACAAATCCCTTATCCCTTCCCACTTTTTATCCAAAAATCACCTAAAAAAAAAAAATTCACCCCCTTCTTCTCCGATATGTTCCCCGACGACGGCAACCAAAACACCCAAAACACCCACAACTTCACTTTTGAGGAAGATTTAATGAAGATAAAACAATATTTCCTTCTAATTACGGCGCTTGTAATTTTATTAGTAGCAATATTAATTTTTGTCATTATGTATAAGTAAAACTCACTTATTTTGTCGTTTTAGTATATTAAAAGCTTGTTTTTGTTTTATTATGTATGTTTGTTGTTATTAATCATCATTGTATAATATTACCGTTATCATTATAATTATTGTTACTACTGTCATTGTTGTCGTTTTGCTGTTTTTTTTGCAACTAACATGATTAATTTTTGTCTAATCATATAATTACTCACAATAATAAACCAAGGGGGAGAAAAGACTATATTATTTATGGTTTATTATTATTAAATTTAATTATCACGTGTCTTATTAACTTAATTATAAATATGGAAGAACTAAACATGTGAGTTGTACATATAATTTGTTATTATAAACTAATTATCACGAAATTTGTTGTAGCTAAAATGGGAGACCTTATGAAAAGACAGTTCTGCATCTTAGATTTATCTGGAAAGAAATTTCTGGAATGGAAAGTGGACGCAATGATGAATTTGAAAGCTCAAGGCTTGGAGCACACTATTAAAGAAAATAAAAGTCCCTCTGGTCAAACAACTAATACTACCACTTCTGCAATGACTGTTGCAAAACCTGTTACTGAACAAGATAAGGCAAAAGCCTTAGTGTTGTTAAGGCATCATTTACATGAAGGCCTTAAAACTGAGTACATGATGGTTGAAGATCCCAAAGAATTATGGGATTGCCTTAATGAAAGATTTGGACACCACAAAAGGGTGCTCCTTCCTAAGGCATTATTTGACTGGACAAATTTACGGTTCCAGGATTTCAAATCTGTAATTGATTATAATTCAACCATACATGAGATAGTGTCTATATTGAGATACTGTGATCATTCAGTTTCGGATGAACAGATGATTGAAAAAACACTCACTACCTTTCATGCAAGTAACATACTGTTGCAAGAACAGTATCGTGAAAGAGGTTTTAAAAAGTTCAATGAATTAATGAGTGTATTGCTTGTTGCGGAACAAAATAGTGAACTTTTGTTGAAAAATCATAACCTGAGACCAACTGGGTCTTTGGCCACTCATCATGAGGCAAATGCAACAAATTCCTATCCACCCGAGTCAAATGCTACAAGAAGAGGTGGACGTGGAAATTACAATGGCCGTGGAAAAGGCCATGGAAATTATCGCGGACGAGGCCGAGGACGTGGTAGAAACAATTTTCAAAGAAACAGTAATTTCAAAAATTTTGAAAAACAGAAGGGACAGTCATCTGGAAGCCACAAACAAACTCTTTCAAAAGGAAAAGACACATGTTACAGATGTGGCATGACAGGACATTGGGGACGTACTTGTCGTACGGCCAAACATTTGGTAGACCTTTACCAGGCTTCTGTAAAAGGCAAAGAGAAAAATGCAGAAGCAAATTATGTTAATGAAGAAAATGCTCCATGTCCTACCCTTGATGTGTCCGATTTCTTCATGGACAATGCTGAAACTGGGAATGATTTCATTCTTGGAGAAAACAACAATGCTTAGGTTCCCCATCTACTAATGTAACATATGCTATGTTTTAATGTATTTTCTTAGTTCCCTGTATTTTAAATTTCTAGTCATGTACTTTAAATCTTTATCATCAATAAAAGTTTGTATGATATTATTCTAAACTAATCTTAAATTTATTTTATGAAGATATGGATCTACCTGAAGTTAGTTCCGAATATCAATGCCTTTTGGACAGTGGAACAACACATACTATCTTAAAAGATAGAAAATATTTTTCACAACTAAAGTTGTTTCAAGCAAATGTAAACACCATTTCCGGGTCAGCTAAATTAATTGAAGGATCTGGAAAGGCTTGTATAATGCTTCCAAATGGAACAAAATTAATAATCAATAATGCTTTATATTCGAGTAAATCTCGAAGAAATCTCATAAGCTTTAAAGATGTACGCCAAAATGGCTATCATCTAGAAACAATGACGACAGATCAAAAAGAGTATATATGCCTCACGGCAGAAAAACATGGCAAGAAACATATATATGAGAAATTGCCAGCATACTCTTCGGGGTTATACCGTATAAACATACGACCCGTGGAAATCAATATGATATCTAACCAGAAGTTAGATGAAAAACATTTGATTATTTTATGGCATGATCGTTTGGGACATCCAGCAACTGGTATGATGCAAAGAATAATAGCACATTCAGTTGGACATTCAATAAGAAATGTCAAAATTCCCCGATCATATGAATTAACATGCTCTGCATGTTCACTTGGCAAATTAATAATAAGGCCATCTATGAACAAAATTGCTACTGAATCTCCAAAATTCTTGGAAAGAATTCAGGGAGATATATGTGGGCCAATTAATCCAGCATGTGGACCATTTCGATATTTCATGGTTTTAATTGATGCCTCTACACGATGGTCACATGTTAGTCTACTTTCAAGTAGAAATGTTGCCTTAGCAAAATTACTTGCCCAAATCATCAAATTAAGAGCACAATTCCCAGATCATACAATAAAGAAAATAAGACTTGACAATGCTGGGGAATTTACATCCCAAACATTTAATGATTATTGTATGTCAATTGGAATTGATGTTGAACACCCAGTAGCTCATGTTCATACACAAAATGGTCTAGCTGAATCACTAATTAAGAGATTACAATTGATTGCAAGACCATTATTAATGAGGTCAAGATTGCCATCATCTGCTTGGGGACATGCTATAATACATGCAGCAACGCTAATTAGATTGAGACCTACAGCTTATCATAAATTCTCACCACTACAACTTGTTTGTGGTCGAGAACCAAGTATCTCACATCTGAAAATCTTTGGTTGTGCTGTATATGTTCCCATTGCTCCACCCCAACGAACAAAAATGGGTCCACAAAGAAGGCTGGGAATTTATGTCGGGTTTGAATCCCCCTCTATAATTAAATACCTTGAACCATTGACTGGTGACTTATTTACGGCTAGATTTGCGGACTGTCACTTTAATGAAACAGTATTCCCAGCCTTAGGGGGAGAGAAAGTGGACCCACATAAGAAAGAAATTGAACTCATTTGGAATGCAACACAACTGTTGATGTTAGACCCACGAACAAATATGTGTGAACAAGAAGTTAAGAAAATTGTTCATTTACAAAGTGTTGCAAATCAATTGCCCGATGCATTTGTAGACACAAAGAAGGTGACAAAATCACATATACCAGCAGAAAATGCCCCTGCACGTATTGAAATCCCAACTGGTAATAAGGCCATAGAAAATGAATCTCAGGCAAGCAGAAAGCGTGGAAGACCACTTGGTTCAAAAGATTCTAAGCCAAGGAAACTAAAAAGATTGGATGGAATAGAAAATGAGACTAATAATGTTCCCCCGTCAGAAGGTCAAGAAAGACCAAATGTGGATGAAAGTAAAGAAAATGATGATAATCCAAAAGGGGACGAACAAGAAGACAACCCTACGGGGAATGAACAAGATGTTCAAAACATCGATAACAATGAAATTTCAATGAATTACGTCTCTACAAAGACTCAGTGGAATAGGAAAGATGTTATCGTTAATGAAACATTTGCAAATTCCATCGCAATCGACATCGTGTCTGATGAAAATGATGTTGAACCAAGAACTGTAGAAGAATGTCGACGTAGGAGTGATTGGCCAAAGTGGAAGGAGGCAATGCTGGCTGAGTTAAAGTCACTTGAAAAACGAGAAGTTTTTGGGAAAATAACCCTTACACCAGCAGGTGTAAAACCCGTTGGATACAAATGGGTATTTGTAAGAAAACGTAATGAGAAAAATGAAATAGTTAGATACAAGGCAAGACTTGTAGCCCAAGGATTTTCTCAAATTCCAGGGATTGATTATGAAGAAACATATTCTCCAGTGGTTGATGCAACTACATTAAGATTTCTGGTAAGTTTGACAGTCACAAAAGGACTGCAAATGCGATTAATGGATGTAGTGACTGCGTATTTGTATGGGTCACTCGATACGGACATTTACATGAAAGTCCCCGAAGGACTAAAACTACCAGAAAACCACAAGCCTAGACAACTGCTTTCCATAAAACTAAAAAGGTCACTTTATGGATTGAAACAATCTGGAAGGATGTGGTACAACCGTCTGAGTGAATACCTTATGAGAGAAGGATTCAAAAACAACCAAGTTAGTCCCTGTGTTTTCATAAAGCGATCACAATCAAGATTCGCTATCATTGCAGTTTATGTTGATGATTTAAATATCATCGGAACCCCAAATGAACTCGAGAAAACTGCAAAATACTTGATGAAAGAATTTGAGATGAAAGACCTTGGGAAAACTAAATTTTGCCTTGGACTACAAATTGAGCACTTGAGTCATGGCATTTTTGTCCATCAATCAAACTATACAGAAAGAGTTTTGAAACGTTTCTTCATGGACAAAGCAACCCCAACCAACTTCCCAATGGTTGTTCGTTCTTTGAATATGAAAAATGATCCATTCAGACCCCGAGAAGAAAATGAAGAGATTCTGGGTCCAGAAGTACCATACTTAAGTGCAATTGGAGCCTTAATGTACTTAGCTAACAATACTAGACCCGACATAGCTTTCTCTGTGAATTTGTTAGCCAGGTACAACAATGCACCAACATATAGGCATTGGAAGGGAGTTCGACACTTACTCCGGTACCTACGAGGGACACAAGACCTTGGTTTATATTACCAACCAAAACAAAATGCTGCTCTCATTGGGTATGCAGACGCTGGATACTTATCAGATCCTCAAAATGCCAAGTCACAAAATGGATATGTATTCACTTATGGCGGCACTGCAATATCATGGAAATCAACAAAGCAGACATTGACCGCGACATCATCAAATCATGCAGAGTTGATAGCCCTCTATGAAGCAGGACGGGAATGTGTGTGGCTGAGGTCGATGATCAGTAATATCCAAAAGGAGTGTGGAATGAACGCAATAACAGAAGACCCAACCATCATCTTTGAAGACAATACAGCATGTATCGCTCAAGTAACTGGAGGATATATTAAAGGAGATCAAACGAAACATATTGCCCCAAAACTTTTCTTCACACATGATCTGCAAAAGGACGAGGAAATAAATATCCAGCAAATTCAGTCTTGTGAAAATCTTGCCGACCTTTTCACCAAATCACTTCCTTCGAAGAAATTTGAACGGTTAGTTCACAAAATCGGAATGCGACATCTTCGTGAACTATGCTGAGATCAGGGGGAGTATTATATGTACTGCACTCTTTTTCCCTTCGATCAGGTTTTTATCTCACCGGGTTTTTCCTGACAAGGTTTTTAACGAGGCAGTATACCAAAGCATATAATACAATAATATTGGTGTACTCTTTTGGCTATGGGTCTTATCCCATAAAGTTTTACCTAACAAGATTTTTAGTGGCATTCAAGGGGGAGTGTTAGAAGATAAGTCTAATAAGTGAATGTCAATTATTGATTTGATTACAGAATGCCCATATAGGTCCAAACACTTGTGAACTCATATGGCTCTATGTGAGTAATTATTGTATTATTAGTGTAACTCATGGCTATAAATACAATGCCATAGAAGTAAGAATACAATGATAACACTACAACAATTTCACCCATCTTCTTTCACTCTTTTACTCCTTTTATTAATCAAAACTTTTCTATCGGTAAATTCTTTAACAATATCATTAATTAATTTATTTTTTAATTTTGGATAATAAACAATAGAGAACAGTAGTAACTTATTATTTATAACTAGCGTTTGTAAGATAGTTACAAATTTTTTGGTCAAAGTTTCTTTGACTTAATATTTGTAACTGGCGTTTGTAAGCTAGTTACAAACTTTTTAGTCAAAGTTTCTTTGACTTAATATTGTAACTGGCATTTATTTAGTCAGTTACTAATAAAACTTCAAACAATGATAAACCACATATTAGTAAGTGACATTTACTACGCCGGTTACTAATATCATGAAATTTGTAACTAGCATTATCTTAGTGGGTTACTGTTGATGCTTTCGTAACTAGCATAACATACGCCAGTTACTATTAGGGCGTTACAAATAACATTTTTTCTATTAGTGCATGTAGGTTTGAGTAGGACTTTTACCTTATTTTTTTCCCTAAATGTTAATAATCGTCTATTTTTTTGGTGTACAATTGTATCTAGTCTGAAAATAAAAAACTATTTTATGAGAATATGACTAATTAATTTGATATATATAAAACAATTTATATTATAATTTTTGTAAAAAAAAAACTATTTTATACATTTTAGATACTAAAAATACCAAAAAAAAATTTGTAAAGTAAAATACTACCTTATAAAACACTAGATGTTGCAAGAAATTACCTTATACAACACTGAATGTTGTAAGAAGTTACCTTATGCTAGATTATTGCATTGAATAAGAGGTGTTTAATGACCCATTTTTAATCTTTTTTTCCCTTTTTTTCACCCAATTTCTCCATAGCTCTTCTTTATAACCCCTTATTCCCCTTTTCTTTCATCAGTAAATCAATCACATGATAGCAACTTAATTACAACATTTAGTTTTTATAAGGTAGTTTATTACAACAATTTTTTTGATAAGGTAGTTTTTCACAAAATTTGAAGTATATAAGGTAGTTTTTCAAAAAAAGTCTTTAACAAAAGTAATAGGTTCTAGGGTTTTTTTACGAAGTATTTGATATGATTTTAAAGCTTTAATAAATGTTAGGTGCGTGGTTTATAACTTGTGCCATGAACGATAAATACATTATTAATGATAGTTCTTTCTTAATTAATGGTAGTGTATGCTAATTGGTTATATCATTTTATAATTTAAATGTGTTTACATTGGATTATTTTGTTGTCGGTTAGTATGTGGTCGATGGTGTCCTACCAATATAACGTTAAAATCCTAGTTCCACTATTGCTTTTGATGATGAAAGTTTAAAACAAGAATATGGTGTATCATATGCATTAAAATCCTGCAGGTTAAAACCTTGGTAGGACACCGCCGACCACATACAAAGCCGTAGACAAACTAGGATTTGAATGTTAACATATCATAAATGGATCTTGTTTTGAAGCATATTTGAATACGAATTTTGTAATATAACATTACAATTTAACGAGCTAACGTCTAATGTATCATGTTTATGCATTGAAAACATGAAATGTGAAGTAATAAAATGCCAAGTGTCGCAGCTTTATGAGTTGGCTATGGGACTTTATTAGCTAGTGATATGATATGATGACATCAATGTGATACTACATACTATTACCATGATATTTTTCCATAAATGTATCATCTTTATACTACTTCCGTTACATATTATTTACAACGATTAGACATTTTTCCTCTTTATTTTATGTCAAATCGTTACAAATAATATGAAGCAGAGGCAGTATATGAAAATAATATACTTGTAACAATGTATATATTGACCTAATGTCAAAGTTATTTTGTTCAGTTGAACAACAATCAAATATCACCATTATATTAAAAGAAAATATTAGAAAAGGGGTGAGCCGCCCATAAAAGATATTTCATTTTTACTCCCATACCAAGAAAATGAATGGTTCATCTGCAATGGTTATTTCCTACTTTATCACCTTCTACGTTTTCTTGTGTATCCTCTTAGCCCTACTAATTTACGCCATTATGTATCGTTATTATCGAATTTGCTTTGGTCATTTCAACCTCTCTACGAGGCCCACAATCTCCCATGAACCACAACAAGGTCTTGAGGCTTCTGTCATTGATGATAACTTCCCAAAGTTCGCTTATCTGAATAAGTCCGTGAATACAGATATAAATATAGATATAGATATAAATATAAGTACGAAAGTGAGAATGACTGGGGAGTGTGTAGTATGTTTAGGGGTGTTTGAGGAGAATGAAATGTTGCGTTTGTTGCCTAAGTGTGGCCATGTATTCCATGTAGATTGCATTGATACTTGGTTGCGTTCCCATGCCACTTGTCCCTTTTGTCGAGCTAATTTAGTCGTGGTTAGCGATGTTCCTCCCCGAGAAGTGCCTACTAGGGCTGAAAGTTCATTTGATGGCAATCACCGAAGATTGGGTATGGTGGAAATAACACCAATTGCACCATGGTTCTAAAATGTGTGCTTCTTCAACAAATCGGGTATAAGCCTTTGCTTGCTTTAGGGAATGAGTATGCTTCTTAAGACTCAATTTGATCTTAAGTAATTCATTGAAGGTTTGATGAATACATTGAAAATTATTATCAAGAGCAAATTGATTGATAAAATCTTGTCTCTATGATAGTGTAGGATAGCTAGCAAAGTAGCAAGGTTTTAATATAATTACCATATGTGTGGATACTACATCTAAGCACACATAAAGTAAGATCACATAATATTCTATATATGTGACGGCATAAAGTTGTTTTATTTAATTCTTCCTTCAATTATTGAAAAAGGCATATAAAGATAGATATTAAATAAACCAGTGGATCGTTATTTTTTTGGTGTTTAGAGAGCCACAAGGGCGAGGGTGAGAGTCGATCCAGGACCTCCTAAAATTGGGAGGGAAGTTATAACCACTTGAGCTATCCCATACTCTCCCCAGTGGATCGTTATTAAATAAACCAGTGGATCGTTAGTTAAATTAATAAAAAAAAAATTGAGTATCTATAAATTAAGAGAGAATTAAACCTCGTCTGGTTTTATTTAACCAAATGTTTTCATGGAAAATAATTTTTTTCAATTTTTCTTTGTTTGGTTAATGATTATGCCAATACACATAGAATGATAGGTATGATACCAGAGAATAAATAAAATTTTGTCAATCAAGAATTTTTAATATCTAGCCTAAATGTATGCCTTTATCATAATTTCATATCCTTCCAAGGTTGGAATGGATCACCAGGCCATCTGCCTGTAGAGAACGACGCGACATTGATAATAACCTCAAATCCTCATCAAGCATTGCCACCTAAACAAAGACGGTTTCCCATTATTCTGCGACTGCTTCTCATTGTCTTTAATTCTCCTGATTCTAAAAGGCATCGTTTGCAGGGGCGGAACCAGGAATTTTATTTAACGGGGGCCAAAGTAAAGGGAACTACGATGACGATAAAAATAATGAACATTTTCATACATCAATTTATTAATCCACATATCACAACAACAAAAATATATTTTATATAAGCAATGAATATAGAGTTATAGAACATATTCCAAAAAAATTACCATAGTACTACATGAAGAAAAACATACCTTATCATTTATCTTATATCATTTTAGTTGTGCTCGTCTCTCTTTCATCATATAAAAAGCATCAATGATGGCATCTCCTTTTCTATATACACTATTAAGTAGTCCTTCAAAAAATCGTCCTCCATCTTACTTCGAAGGTTTGTTTTCACTATCTTCATGGCTGAAAAAGCTCTCTCAGTTGTTGCAGTAGATGCTGGAAGAGTTAATACGAGACGAATTAACCTTGAAACAAGAGGATAATCTTTTATTTTTTCTGTAGTCACTAATCCTTGACATAAATCACCAAGAGTAGTTAAGTTCTTCAACACTGGATGAATAGGAATATCAAGCCAATAATGTTGCAATTCATAACTCAAATGATCTTTCTCATGTTCTGTGAAATCAATAGGATAAAAATCTCGAGCTAGCTTGCAAATATGCTCTATATTGAATGACTTGTAACCATCTCTTGGATTCAAGGCCGCACTTAAAATGAGAAGTTCAGTAGCTCGCTCACTAAATCTTGCGTTTAGCTCTTGCAATTGACGATCTATAGCAGCCATAAATATATCAACTCTATAGTGATGTTCCATTGTCATATTGTCTTTTTGTCTTGATTGTTGCCTTATAGATTTAAGCACATCAACATAAGGAGAGTCCATGTCGGGAACTGTAACACCATTTTTCTCACAAAAAACTTTAACATTATGTAGCAAACTCTCCCACCCATCATTCCTTAAAGTTTGAAGTAATGTCTTTGTAGTGCAAACTAAATGCATTGCATTTACAATATCTTGGGTCTTCAATTGTAGTGCTTGACAAAGTCCATCGGTGATGGCCATAATCTCCTTCACAACATGTATGTTAAATACGAATTCAAATGACATTAACAACTTAACTCCATTAAGAGCATCTCCTCTCTGAGCATAAGTTGTTCCTTCACTAGCTATGTTAGCAAGAACTAAGCGAGTAGCACAATACATTCTTAAAAAACTAGATATTGACTTGTAATGCGAGCTCCATCTAGTATCACCTGGTCGTTGTAATGTACCGATTTGATTGAGACCTTTTCCCGTCTCAAGCCCCTCAATCTCAACTAGATGTTCAATTTCAGCCAATTGAGTTGCTTGTAACTCGTCATGTCGCTTTGAAGAGCTAGTGACCACATTAACAACAAAAATCAATTGTTGAAAGAAAGTATGAATCTGTGGCACTTCCCTAGATGCAGCAACAAGAGCTAGTTGTAGTTGATGTGCCAAACAATGAATGTAATAGGCATAAGGACACTCCTTCATAAATAAAGCTTGTAACCCATTCCACTCTCCACGCATATTACTTGCACCGTCATACCCTTGACCTCTAATATTTTGAAGGTTAAGGTTATGATGAGACAAGACAGCACAAATTTCCCTTTTTAATGTTTTTGATGTAGTGTCTTTGACATGGACCAAATCCAAAAATCGCTCTCTTACCAATCCACTTCTATCAACATATCTCACTACTAATGCCATTTGTTCTTTCTTAGAAATGTCCCTAGACTCATCAACAATCAAACAAAACTTTGCATCACCAATTTCCTCACGTATACTATTTTGCACTTTTCTTGCATAAACATGTAGAATCTCCTTTTGGATTAGTGGAGAAGTGTATTTGGTATTCTTTGGGGCATTATCCAAAATAACCGAATCAACATCTTTATTATATGATGCTAAAAGTTTTAGCATCTCCAAGAAGTTCCCTTGATTAATTGAACTAGAACGTTCATCATGCCCTCTAAATGCACAAGCTTGGAAAGTTAACCATTTAACAGCATCTATTGATGTCTTAAGGCGTAAACGATTCTTGACAATCTCCTCTGCAGTTACTTTCTCTACTACTTTCTCAATGTGAGCGGATTGATTTTTGAGATTAAAATAACACTTTGTTGAAAAGTTATGAGCAGAATTGGAATCTTTCCCCATGTGACACAAAAATGCACAATCCTTCCCATTATTTACTTTCTTCCAATTTTTAAAGCCCTTCACTGTGAATGTATCCGAACCACATCTTCCAAGAGGCTTTTTAGCAAAAAGAAAGCAATAGAAACAATAAGCAGCATCCATTGTGGGAGAATACTCTAACCAAGGAAACTTCACAAACCAACTTTTTTGGAACCTACGTGGGTGTTTTTCGGAATCAGAGTATGGATAATTATCAAGTTTAGGTTGATATGGCCCAAAATCAATGTAAGATCTCCTAATCAAATCTTTTTCATCTGAATCATATGTCTCAATTTGCTTACGCAACCCAGGATCACGCATTAAAAAATCAAGACCAATACCTTCTTCATTAGGCATTTGCTCATCAACATTGTCATTATTAATATTACGTTCGACTTCTTCATTATCAATGATAATTGGCTGATTTGGCTCAACAACAGGTATATCTTCATCACCCCTGCCCTTTTTTTGTGGAAGAAAATAAGAAGTGATAGTCCTCTTTGTCATTCCTAAATTACAAAAATTAACAGCAAAAAAAGCATAATCAAATCTAATGATTATTGGGCAATATATCAAGTATAATTGCAATTGTATTAATTATTCTAATTATTCACAATTTTCATATAATTGTTTGGATTTACACATTTACTGATTTACATATACAATTAGAGTATTAAACCCCAAAATTTCTAATTCAAAATCTCACTCTAACTATTTATTCAACACACTAAACCTGTAATTAATATGAAAATTGAAGTAAACAAACAAGATTAAGTAGAAATTGATAATTAAATTACCTGAATTAAGGAAAATCAACAACAGCAAGCAAGAAACTTCAATGGTGATATGTACTGTTTGTTTCGTCACTTTGGGGGTTTTCACTGCTTTCCTTTTGTAATTTTGTGTTGAAGTGAATTGTAATGTTTGCAAGTTGTTATTTTTTTATTAGATAATTCTTTTATTTTTTATTTTTATTTAGTTGCAATATTTATATTTTGTCTTATCTAACAATATAATATAGTAGAATCTAGAAATATCAAGTACCAAACTCATCACATGCGTTAATATTAGTACATAAAGTGTGAGTTTGGTTTTGTATTAATTTTTTTTATTTGTTTGGCGGGGGCCACATGAATTTTTTATACTTTTACTTGTACTAAAATCCAAATATTACCAATGTAAAGCAATTCACTTGAGGGGGGCCTTGGCCCCCTTTGGCCCCTACTATCTTCCGCCCCTGATCGTTTGTGACTTGTGATCCCTCAGATAATAATGTTAGAGTTGTGACTTGTGAGCCATGTATCAACGTTATCAGCATGAAAAACGCGGTTACAATTAGGCCGGTGTATAGTACAGGTATATCAAATTGCTAGATTTCCTAATGTCGTTCCTTCGTTATATAAAACACGAAGAATTATTGGTATTTTTTGTTTTGAGAATTATCGGTATTCTTAGACAATGAATTGACGAATGACTTCGGTGAGACATACATAAAACATATACTACGTATGTAATAAACGTGTATTTGTTGAAGAGCTTATATACTTGTATACTCTATCCTTTGGTCTTATTAGTTCTATTCCATACAAAATAAGATGAAGATTTTGAATATGAAGATTTTCTCTTTTATTTCTTCATGATGTCTTTTTGAATAACTCAACCACCAAAACATCAAAAATAACATATTCCTTAGATATATATATAAACAAAGTACCATTTTTTTTTTTTTTTTTTTTTTTTTGGTAAGCAAAAATAAGAATGTACATGGCATTACCAACAATGTAAAAATGTACTTGGACTACTATTCAAAACCAAGATCCCTCTAGCTCAAATTAATTTCTAGCTTAGACAGGCAATTGAGTCAACTCGGCTTGTATATCATTACACAAAGAAACTTCACGACTTGTACTTATTACATTCT